CCTTTTCAAAGAAAATAATTCAAGTTTGTTCACCCCATTGACTTAAGACATTGGTTTGTCGATTAAGGTTTCCGGCAGAGTATCGGAAGCTCGGAGGTTTTTACGTCTGCTTGGCGCATTAAAACAAAAAGCATGCAATTTTAATTCAAGTAGATTCCAATATATATTCAAGGAGGCTTAATTCTTACTTGCACAAGGAAAATGAAATGACCCTTCCTCCATATTTTTGCTTTTACTCCAACTTTCACGCAATAAACCGATTGGAAACGCTAACTACGCAAGCTATCTGAATCAGATAATTGGCATCCTTGATAAAGACTATATTTCGAAGAAAGATCAGCCAAACGCAGCAAAAATCACAAATATAGATTGCATGAAGGATATTCAAATCCTCTTTACGGTTTCATTTCTGATTTGTTGGCCAATTTACTTATAGCGGGATCCAACAAGTTTATAATTTAGTTTCAAGAGAGGTTACAAGACAGTTCCTCCTATTCTCAAATCGCTGTAGATGATCGGGAGTGAGGTCTTTTGGTAAGTTTCCAACCTGCATATCCATGAGTGTCAAAGCTGTAGGCCTGTTTTCTTTTCTTGTCCAGCTTTCAATGTTTATCATGTTTTGAAATCTTAAACAGCACGAAGCCAGCGCTTGTTTGAACTCGGGGATTCTTAATGCATACACGACTGGATTTATAAAAGAGCCGGAGTAATGAATAATGAAGATAGTATTAAAAACTAAATAGAAAACTCGAACAACAACTATGTAACGGTATAAATATCTAACAACGATTACAGAAAGCCAGGAAAAGACATGAATGGTAGATACACACAGTAAGGTTTTTGTCAAGCGTTTGGTTTGCAAGGCTCTTCTCTTAATTATATTTTCCGTACTTGCCTGTCGAAACTTTATAAAAATGCCAATGTTACAACCACAGACGATAGCTGCGGTAATAGAAGAGAATATAATCCTGTAAGAATTATACTTTACAGTTAACTTAGATAACTTTAAAAAGTTCCAAGTTCGGATCGCGGTGAAGTCGATGATGATACTAACTGACCAAACCATGAAAATAAGAATGTGGTACGCCCGCATTGAAAGTGTTCGGTGTTTTAGTGGCCAGTAGACGGCGTAGCACCTTTCACAAGATATAAACGCTGCAGAAATTGTGGAGGCACGCGAAAAAATTCCTTCCCAGGAAATATAAAATAGTGTTAATGGTTTTAGTGACACAACTGGCCATAGCTGATACGCACTTCCCACCATTAAGTAAACGTAGAGAGGCAGAGACACAGCTCCTACCATAAAATCAGCAACCGCCATGTTTATCACCAAAACAAAGCTTTTTTTGCGAAGCTTCCTCTCAAATACAAAGAGAACAACAACGAACGTGTTCGTTACTACAACAAGGGCAGCTTCTAAAACAAATGCGCAGCAAAATGCGATTCCTTCCTCCCTGGAAGTGGAGTCCATCGCCGAACGAAACCAAACCGCGGACACGTTCTCCATTTTAGCTCGTGAAAGTGACTTCAAATTGATTGCCCTCAAAATATAGTGGCTCTTGAACCCTAGCAAGTCTCTAACTGTAAATACCTTTCAAGGGGAATATACTTTTACAACTAACAAACGCGACAGGTGTTGAAATCGATAAAACTGCAAATAATACTGCTATTATGAAACATTGACAGGGAGCAAACAGTTTTGAGTGAGGTAGACTCAAAAAGTACATAAAGGAAACTCAAATTATTCCCCAAAGGCTGTGTTCTGCGGCATTATGTATCTAAGTAGTAAACGACGCATTTTATAATAAGAGTTGCGACATTTTGTAACAACTTGCGCAACTTGTAATTATAGTAATTAGCTACGGAATTTTGTAATAAATGGAAGCCGGCGCATTTTGTAATTAGGGCTGTAGCACGAGTTTGTAATAATCGTCAGTTACAAAATGCGTAAGTTATTACAAAATCCGTCGTTATTACAAAATGCCACAGAACACTGTCACCGTGTCTGGATGACCTCAATTAGAAAACGCAGTTTAATGAATATATGAGGAGACTTCTATCCTTGGAGAAAAAAGGCCACGATTTAAATTCGAAGCTATTTCTCAGCCTATTGCGATCTATAACAGAAGAAATATTATTTTTTTCATAGAAGCATTCTTCTCCGATAAAGCTTTCGCGATGGAAGTGAGAACTAGAAATTAATTTCTTTCTCCTCCAAAAAGATAAGAGTTTACTCTCATTTAATTCCGAAGATAAGATCAATTT